GCAAATTATCATTCTTTCAATTTAAAACAACGCTTGTCTTGAGAAACTAATTTTACACTCAACATTTGTCGTTAGGTGCTAATATTCGGGCTCACCTGTCTTTTAGCTAGTAAATTTGCAGACATTTAATTAACAAAGGCAAAGTACTGAAACCACATACAATCTTGTTTAGAGTTTTTGCTTTGCAAAAATTATATGCTGCCTGATGGATCAGAATTAACCAGTAGATACTCATCCTCTAGTTTAAAAGTAGCCAGTGCACGATAGATTTGTCAATTGTTCTGGTGTCAATAAAAAAGGTAATTTTTTTGGATATTTAATGTTTAATTTTTTTGTTTCGGTGAAAAGATCGTTCCTTAGAAACGGCAGATCCGCAAAATCAATGACTGACATCTTTCCATTGTAAAATGGCTTTGCCAAACAGATTCCTTGAGTGAAACACATTCCCATTCTAATAAAAATTGGATTTAGAGATAATGCAAGACGTGGCTACTGGTCTTATTTACCGATATGAATCAACATGTCTATGCAAAGATATTTTAAGTCCTAGAAGGCCAAAGTCAGTTCTTATCTTCGAAAACAATCAGATTGGTAAAGCTTTTTTTGCTCATAGTCTGCAAAAGTCCACAAGGCGAGTTTTAAATAAACTTGATATTCCTCGACAATAAATTATGTGGATACTTGGTACATAGCTTTATTGGGACGTTATCACTTACACTTGCTCCACACATAGAATGAAAATTACAATGGCGGTTGCCAAGATATCGTTCGAATCTTTTGGCAGTTTTGGAGAGAATGAGTCATGTATCAAATCACACTTGCTTGGAAAGACGAAGACATCAATCTGTGCTAAAAAATATGACTATTTCGAATTAAGTGTAAAATCAGGTAATATCTGTGAACTTTTTCGCTTGAACTACCTACTCGGCCGTCTTGTTACTCTGATTTGCTCAGTATGATAAGAAGCCTTAGTCTTATGTGACGTGTCACTTTTTATGATTGTTCCTTTAGAGATTAAGTAAAACATACTTTTTTTCAATCATTTTTTAATGCTTTTTTCCATTTAGGGCGATTTCATTTGGGTTGCATCACAATGCAGAGGCGAATTTTCTATACCACTGGGTGCAAAAATCTTGAGTGTGAAAGGCGATTCATATTTTATTGAAGACGACGATGGCAAGGTAAGGAATGCATTACTTTTAAGAGTTCCCTAATCGTCTCTGTCAAAGAGAAGATCATAAATAACAACTGTATCTGGTAATTAATGCAACACTAAAGTCAAGATATTGGAGAAGTTCATATTAGTGTTTCATCCACCCTATTCTATCCACCTCAAATTCTACAGTTACTTCGTGGCACATTGCCATGGTATTGCGAATAGTGCTTGGCAAATTCAGTTAAGAAATTGATTTTTCAAGGTTCTATTTTGGGTTTGAATCCTAAAACCCCTCTCTTAAATGATTTATCGTTCTTATGCGTTTTGACTTATAAATATTGAAAAGGTAAAGTAAGCCTTCGACATCTGGATCCAAATACAAGTTCTTTTTTTCCAAATTTTTATAGCAATATTCCCTGAGTGTAGACTCTGAGGTTCAGTTGATGCACCCAAGCTCCATCCGAAGTGTTCCAGACATGATAGCCCTTGGAGAACTCAACGAATGCAGCATTTTGCGAAATTTGTTTCTCCGCTACAAAGATAATCAAATTTATGTGAGTTTTAACTTTGGTTGTTACATGTCTTTTGACACAACCTGACACTTCCCCTCCCAATGCCTTAGACCTATACCGGTTCCATTCTGATCGCCATCAATCCGTATCATTCGCTGCCCATATATACAACGGAAATCATGAAAAAGTACACAAACAAGAGTATAGGCGAGCTTCCCCCCCACCTCTTCGCTATCGGCGACAACGCGTTTCGCAATATGCGCCTCAACTCTCGTGACCAATGTATCATCATAAGGTGGGGTCATTTTGCTAGGCATTGCATATTTTTCTTCCAAACTGTAATTTTATTGTCACTCAATGATCCCCGCCTTCGAGTAGTAAACATCACTATTGACTACCTTGGTGAGTTAAACCTTGAGTTAGCCATTTCCTATATCCTAATATTGTGAAATTCGCGCGAAATGAGCACCCCACTTGCACTTACAGTGAGACTAAATTTGGTAAAAAAGATCCATTCTATCAGTGTTATACCCGTATTTCTGAATTTGAATTATAGCAGGTGGATTGGACTTGATATTGTACGGAGATGCTTTTCTACTTGGGTGTGGACGGAAAGCCAAGTCATATTGCCGCTCGTGTTTTAACAGTTACCACATGTTAGACTTTGTTGCCGTGTTGTGCATGATTTGATGTCTCAAATGAATTTTTTTAACGACTCACTTTTCTAGTGGTGAAAGCGGAGCTGGCAAGACAGAGAGCACAAAGTTGTTGCTTCAGTTTATCACTACAGTCAGCGGGCAGGAGTCTTGTATCGGCCAACAAATCCTCGACTCAAACCCAATTATGGAAGGTGAATTTATGTCAGCACTTTGTATTTTTAAATGAAACGCTGGCTATTTTTTACTCTGTCATTCTAGCTAAATCTGTGCATAAAATAGGTGGGTCCGATCAGAGTATTACCTGGCCAACCAATTTATTGGCTATAACTCAAATTTAGTATATCATATCTGATAATGGATTTTGGTCAGTAGTTGGGTCAACACCTCGTTATAGCACTTGTTTTAGAGTTTATGCTCCGACCACCATCTCTTGACGTCTCTTGACAAGCCGTCCAACCAAGGAAAATCAGTCCAGTCCAGTACATAACAACAGAATTTTTTGTTTTATCAAACAGTCAATAGCTTGATCTTGTGGGTTAATATCGGCCGAATATCTTAAAAATCTTTTGTTGGTGTCGCTGTACTGTAATTTCATAGCCATATAGGATTAATGCCTCCCTTTTCGACTAATTATCTACTTGAACTATGATAGAGTATCTACTTGTTGGTGTTAAAAAATGATGCATTTTTGAAATCGATGTGCATAATACCTTAAAAACCTGTCTTCGTCAGCTTTTTACCGTTGTCATTCAATGTTAACATCTCGTTTGTTATTAATTCCTCGACGTTCCTACAACATCCTTGTCACTTTAGCCTTCGGCAACGCCAAAACAGTACGTAATGATAATTCGTCGCGATTTGGCAAGTACGTGGACATCCACTTTGACCAAAATTCCGGTCACATTGTGAGCGCCCATATTGAGCAGTACCTTCTTGAGAAATCGCGTATCGTGAGGCAGGCCCCTGGTGAAAGAAATTACCACGCCTTCTATTGCATGCTTGCTGGAATGCCCGAGGAAGAAAAGCGTCGTCTTGGCCTTAAAGAAGCGGAATGCTACAATTATTTGGTTCAGGTGCGTCAGTATTGTCACACCTCAGGTCATGTAGCTCAGCGTTTTTCCTTTGTGGAACTATGTGAAGATAAGTCGAGCTGATGTTGATTTGGTTGCTACGTCAGCTCTAAATCACAAGCTTAATTCTCTGCAGGTGTGTTTTTTGAATGATTATAGTCCATCAAAACACTCAGAAATCTGGCGAAATCCAAACAGTGCAAAACCCATTGTCCTGAATTACAGATTTTTCAATTTCCTTAATTTGCATTCAAAGTTTTCTCGGCCATATTGGAAGGGAAGAGTTCTCTCCAGTGCCGAAAATCTCTGATATTATTACCTAGGCCTTAAGGATAGGTGTGAACCCTCTACTTATTCTTCCATGGGTGCCAGGTAGATCTTACTCATTCTCGTAGTTTCCATCATTCGAACTGAGAATGTCATTTTTGTAGAGTGTTAGTACATCGGTGTTTCTCTCTTTTGTGTAGGATAACAACACATTATCCGACATTTCCAATGATGCAGCCCATTATGAAAACATAATTTCGACAATGCGCCACCTCAAGTTTACTGATAACCAAATCGAAGAAACCTGGCACTTACTTGCGGCAATACTGCATCTAGGCAACATTTCCTTTTGTGACATTCTCAAGGAAAGTACAGACGCGAGCAAAGTAAAGGATTGTCACCGCTCCGAACTTCGCTTCGCTTCCAATTTGCTTGGGGTGAGGATGTGCAGAATGGCACTTTTTAAAAGTTCTCGTTGGATTCCAAATATTTTTATCCCTACCTCTATTTGATTTGGGTTCGTTAAAATTCCGACCTAATTTTCGCAGCCGCAGGCCTTTCGCTTAATTGGGCTCCTCTTTTATGCAAAAAACATTCTGGTCTTTAGGTGTAATGACCTTTGACAGCATGATACTCCCAACAGGAGAACTTCATTCCCTTTCCAGGCTAAATACCTACCAGACTGTAAATGTAGTCCAGTGCTTGGTTCTTACCTCCTGGTATCGTGTTGGTTGAAATTCTGCATTTTGAAGTTAACCCGATACTCAAACTTCGTTTGTTATACCACATCATCAACAACTATTTTGAGACCATAAACTGGTCTGTTGCAAAGCGTTTGTTAGGCCTAACAGTGTGTTGTATCAAGACACGAAGTTCTTCCTCAATGTTGCTTCGGCTTTTAATCCGTGTGCCCAACACTTCAGTTGACATTGCCTTATTGTGTGACTTATGTTCATTTTGATTGACCTCGTCTGCACATATGCTAAATAACAATAATTTTTTAAGTTCTACGTCATAAGAGTATTAATTTAGGCCAAAACCCCAAAATGAATTTTTTCGGTGCAAAATATTGATAACTGAAATTCACAATGTTCAAAAATATCCCACAACCAAATCTGCCATAGCTTGTCGAACATAGCCTTGCGTTTCTCTAGATGGGTTCAACCTGTCTCGAGAAGGCCCTTACGACACGACGTATTCAGATGGCAGGGGAATGCGTGGTGGCTCAATTTCTACCAGCAAATGCCTACGCCGTTCGAGACGCCTTTGTCAAGACGATCTACGATCATCTCTTCTGCTGGATCGTGGAGAAGATCAACGCGGTCATCTACAAGCCAGTGAAGGGGTCTTCGCTGTCAGCTGCCAGTTCGGCGCCAGACGTTCGCCCCACCAGTCACTCCCCCCCAGCCTTTGCTTCCAGTCACCTGCAGACCCCTGTGGAGTGGTTGTCTCAGGGTCGGTGGCGTGCTGACCTTGTTACCCGTTCAAACACCTGTGCCAGCATCGATACGCTTGGCTCTAGCCCCCTCGCCATTCGCAGTGGGCGCGATTTCAACTTCCATCAGAACTACACTGCTGGGATTGGACGAGTTTCAATTGGTGTTCTAGACATATTTGGATTCGAAAATTTTAGCACTAATAGGTGAGCCACCATCCTTCCTGTTTACTTCTGATCATTTAATACACTTTGAATTTAAAACACTGTAAGATGGCAGGAAAACAGTGACTTTGCTTTTGGTGCGGAATTTGCTGCAACTTTCTGGGCCTACGAAGCCCTTCTGCTGGCTTAATCAATGCCGGTCCAACTCTGGATAATGTTACTTTTTCTCATGTGTATACTGTAGCCGTGATATTAATCTGACCCCTTATGACAGGGAAGAATAGCTCACTTCTGTTAGAAGTTAGTAACCCATCATGAGCTGTCTGCGAGGCAACCGTTAAAGCGCCTATGGAGAAGAAAGTCAAAGTGACTTTTGCCCACGATTCTTGGCAAAAAAGAATCGGGAGATTGGTGAATAAAAGTTTCTGTTTTAACTTTACATCAACCTTACCTTTTACCGTCAAGAAGTTGTCCTCTAATTATGCCTATTCTTTTACTTTTCACTTTGAGTAAAGCCATAAGACACTTTACACTTTGAGAAAATGAACGTTTTTGAGCCAACTTGAACTAATCAAGAAGCATTTGCATTATTTTAGTTTTGAGCAGCTGTGCATCAACTACGCGAACGAGAATATCCAGCAGTACTTTGTGCGACACATTTTTAAACTGGAACAGGAGGAGTACCTGACAGAGGGCATAAACTGGACCCACATAAAGTTTCAGGACAACCAGGAAGTCCTAGACTTGATAGCATATCACCCCCTCAATATACTGGCACTCGTTGACGAGGAAAGCCGATTTCCTCGCGGCACCGATGAGAGTTTCCTCAACAAACTCAATGCTCGGCACTCCTCTACACCCAACTATATCCGCTCCGTGTCAACGGCAGAGACGGTTGGTTTGCAGCGTTTATTTATAAACGTCAAATGAGTCCTCGGTAATTGCCCTAGGATGTGTAGTTTTAGATTGCATAATATAGCTCCAGTGCCAACAAGTGAATGACAAGTTCCAGGTTTCCCTATCTCTACAATTAGTACTTGGGTGTATTCAGTCGTCACAAGCAACGCAATTAGTAATTTGTCATACTGCTTTGTATTAATTCAGTCTGAAACATCTGAACAAAAAGGTTTTAATGTTAATTTTAGAGATTTGGTATTATGCACTTTGCTGGGCCCGTGTTTTACGAAGTTGAAGGTTTTTTGGAGAAAAACAGAGATACCTTCAATCACGATTTGTTGGACGTCATAAGCACATCGAATAACACTTTCCTTCGAGAACTCTTCGAGAAACGTTTAAACTCGGTAATTGTAGAGTTTATTGTGTAGTCTTTTTCACAGAAATGTCTGCCCACGTCTTGTTTTAGCTGTACTGATTGACGGCCCCACTTATCTGGGTTCTGAATGCCTGAATTAGAAGGGAGAAGCGTATATCACTAATTCGCTCAACTAATTCTTGAAATTAATTAATTTTGGCTTCTGTTTGCGAACTTTTAGTCTACATTTTATGTCCATATTTGTCTTTTTTTCTTTCAGCGATACAATAAATGCAAATTTGCTCTGTCATCACTCCCAACAGTCAGATGATTTAACCAGCGTCAACATTTAGAAGCTCTAGTACTAATTTCCTGTGGGTTGTTGTACATACCATTCTATAGTCTTTCTCAAGGAAAGTCTGCTTTGAGTTTGGGAGCAATGCTTGTAAAACCTACATCAGACATCGATCTGATCAAAATTATTTAATTTCTGTGTCATTTAAGTACTTAGTAGTTTAATTTGAATGATATCAAGTTGTTGATCAGTCGAATGCCGACCGAGCCTATGCTGGTTTCCGGTGTGGTTAGTTTATCATAACGGTCTAATAAATAATCTGGATTCACCGACAATCCTTTTTCCTTTTTCAGAAGGAAAGTCGAACGCGTTCACTAACTCTTGGTATGCAGTTCAAGAATTCACTGGACCGCTTAATGACCTTAATTAATAGCCGTCACCCTTTCTTCGTGCGCTGTATCAAGCCCAATGAGTTCAAATTGGCCAACTGTTTCGATCGAAACTTGTGTGTACGTCAACTCCGCTACTCCGGCATGATGGAGACCATCCAGATCCGCAGTCTAGGCTACCCCATTCGTTATGAATTCCATGACTTTGTACTGCGCTTTTACATGATCCCGCGCCTGCCCTTGGGTGCCACCTCGCCCCTCAAACAATCCCAGCCCAATGCTATTAAACAACTAGCGATTGATATTTGTCGGACAGCGTTCGGCACCAATGACCCCAACTATGCCATCGGTTCAACGAGGGTCTTTTTACGGGTAAGTAATTCTGCGCAGTTAATCATCACGCAGTAATAAGAGTAAGCAATCTCATTTGTGTACCTTGAACATGTAATTTGGTGTAATGAACATGAATAAAGTTGTAGCTAAGGGAACTCTTGCACGAGAAATCGGCCATTCATATGCTGCTTCGGGTAACTGAATGCTTTTACAAAGCTAGTTTATTGAACAGATAAATCAAAGAGGATTGGAGTAGCTTTAGCCGAAGCGAACTCCTAATAGGGTGGTATTTAGGTCTGGTCAATCGGAAATTTTGAGGATTGAGTTACGTAGTCCCTGTGATGTACTCTCGGTATTTCGTCCTCTGTGGATTCCAGGCTTAATTTTTTATGAACTTCATAGTTTTGATAAATGAACTGTGCTATCCGTGCTTGAAAATAAAATAATTTGGTCAGCGAAAGTTACCCAACGGCTATACCTGGACATCAATAGCTGTAGCTATCCTACCATTGCTTGAGCAGTTTCTGTACTTGGAAAGAGATAATGAAATGAGTGAATTCGTGGCACGTCATGGTTTCATTAAATTGTACTGCACTTTGGTCGAGTTTATGCGACTTCGATTAAATCATTGTTAACTAGAATGATTTGTGGTTTTCTTTAACATCATATTTACAACTCGTGAAATCTCATTTTATGGTGAAACACCTTTATTCGGCTCCTATTTGTACATTGGAAGTGCCTTTTTCGCATACATCTCATGTTTACCAAAAAAGAATTTTTCCTTGGCAGACAGAAAAATGTGAACATGGAATTCGCCAGGTGAAGAAGTATTGTGGCTTATCGATGCAGTTAATAGATGCTACTCGTTCAACCCCTAAAAGGGTCTGTTGAACCTTCATTGGAAGCTTGATTTGGTGGTTTGATTATATGGTTTGTTTCCCAACATCTTGCTGATGGTTCAGTCATTGGTCCAAAAGCATTTTTTGTGTTTTATTGAAAAAATTGCCAGTTCATCAGTGTGTCAAATTTCTTGGTACCAGACAAATTGGTAATTTAGGCGCCTTTTCAGGTCCTACCTAATTTCTGTAAATTGCTTGAGGTGAAAAGAACTTTATTTCTGTGAACTGAGTTTACTGTACGCTCTTGCCATTTGTGCCATGAGTTTTTACCGTAGGCGGTAATTTAGAAAATGTCTTTAAAAAATGTTTTTCAGGTATATGGCGATGACTACTTTTGAAGTCGCAATTTCGCATTTTTTATTCTTGTCTTGTAGTATTAACTTGAGGTCGCAATGCTTAACATACCAATACATTCACATACCTTTTGCGTAGTTGGCCTTTTAGTCATCGTCACGGTATTAACTTCATTGCGAACTTGTTTCACACGTTAAGCTCAAGGAAATATTTTATGAGTGAACGTTAGACTCGTTCCCTTTGACACTTCATTCTGCTAGGCGTTTTAAGACGGTTTGGAGTAAACCAATGTTACTCAATTGTCATACACCCTAAAACAACTGTGAACTCTTTGTAAATTGAGTCAAACCGAAACCCGGTTTGCCAGTCGTGTTAAAATTCTCAAAGTGAAAGAGAAATGACCAAGCCCATTCATTATACATAGGGGCACCGCCGCATTGCAAATACTATTGCCTTGATTCGTAACAACTTTTCCGGATGCTTTGGTTGCTAGACGCGGAATTAGCATGAACACTGCTGCATTTCAAAGCTAATTCTCATTGATACATTAAAGTTGAGATCGTGCTGCGGCTAATTTGAAGCGTCAACCAAAAGCCAACTTTGGGTTGAAGTTTTTTAGCCACTTGAAGACTTCTCCATGAATGTAATAAGCAAATCTGAAGACCTTATGGTCGTCACACATCTATCAGCTTCTTGTGTTTTCCCGCAGATCGACCACATAGACGCACCGTAATGAATCATGATCCAAGAGAACCTAACCAAGCTCTGCAGTATATGCTTTGTATTTTTTCCATCCAAGTATATTGCTATTTTTGAAATGCGAACGTAAGCTTGGATGCACTCAGATACCATGTAAGGTATGAGAATTACCCACCAGTGAACCAGATGTTCTCAATATCGAATGTGTTTTAAAACCGCCTTGATGATTTCGAAAGTCGGAAACGATGTTCAAAAGACTCACGCTGATATCCCGACCGATTCATGTAGGCACGCCTTTTTAATATCTTCAAGAATCCTAGGTGCTTTCCTAAGGTGGCGTTAACAAATGAATGTTTATGTTAACAGAATTGCCGTTGCAAAAATTGTAAGCATGCATAATCTTCTCACCTCTCACGGACCTTAGCAATGACCAATCAGTGAGTTCCTCGGTCAACTGTAAAATGCGACAGTGTTCGGTCATGGATGTTTAAAATCAAAGTAGTTTGGAGTAATTGCACTGCCGCGGGTCTGTTCAAACCCGTTCAACAAGAACATTCAAATTCGTAGACATTCCCTTTACTGCGGTTCTAACTCTGTATGATACCGAAATCTTTCTCTTTGTCCAACAACATAACCATTTGGGTGATCTGTGATAATATATCATAAAAACCTCCCTAAGGAATGCAAGTAGCAGCCTGTTGTATCTCTTTTAAAAACTGGCTATTGAAACAACTTGATATTGAATCTAGAAGCATGCATCAAAACCCAAAAATGCCATTATATCCAGCAATCAAAATCAGATGGGGATGGATTTGACACATTTTGAATTGCATCTACTCATCAATCTCTGCACTTTTTTATCCCAGAATACACATGACGTGAAGCTTGAGGAGTTGCGTGAGAACGTGATCAATTCCAGTGCAGTCCTCATTCAAAGTCGATGGCGAGGTGCAATGGCTCGAAGTAGATACAAAAGCCTGAGAAAGTCCACCATTTTCTGCCAAAGACGCTTCCGACAGCTTGCTGCCAGGCGAAGGTTTTTGAGGGTAGCTGTTGATTTACTTTAACCTAGTATTATCCCATAAGGCCTTTTTTCGTTTTGAGTATATGTGTTTTACGCACCCGAATCAACGTTCAAGAAACCTATTGTTCAGCACTAAATAATAGCCAGGATTAGTTTAGGGGCTAAATTGAACGTCGGGGTAAATAAGCTCAAACAGTAATTCAACAAAACAGAGGACTCTGTACATCGCGATAAAGAGGAAGAGAAATGCCTATAATTTGCACTTAAAAACCACCAAATGCCATGCAACCTGCATTGCTAGCCTAAAGATGGGGATTTCGGCGGGTCCAAATACATTTATGGCATACTTTATTTCATCTGGCTTGCTCATTGTCCACTGATGCCCACAGAAAAACATTTTTAGTGAGTTTGACCATCCATGTTAATTTTCACAAACGCATTTTGACTACTGAAAAGGTGCCAGGACTTGTTCGTCCGAATGTTGCACTTATCATTGAGACTTCATGACCACTCTTTGAAAGGGCTAAAGCAGTACTTAGACAATTGTATGATTACTGTTGGTAACTTTTCTATTGTGCAAAACATACGTGCATATTCAGTTATTGTTTACTTAATATGTCCGCCTTTTTGTAGTTCCAATCCGTAAGTTGTCAAGCTAGGCTGTGCTGCTTTTTTGCACGCCTCCGTTAACCCCAACGCATGTTTATCACCCTCACTCTGTCTCACTTTACTAAACGAGCACAGGATTGGCCCAAGAAGTTTCGTTTTAGTGAAAAGTGAAGTGTTTATTTTCGGGTTCCTTATCACTTGGGGACCCCGCACTCAAAATGACTTCTTCATGCTATTCTTCCTGGTAATGACTTTTAAATTACCTTAATTTACTTGCTCGTGGTTTATTTACAACCGCATTACAAGGAACCTCTCTAATTAGTGGGAGCCACCAAGATAGTTGACCTTGACATTTGAAAACACTACGAAAATTTACTTTTTACCTGTTTCTGTGGTAAATCCCTTAGACGGCACTACGCATCCATAGTTTGCCGACACTAACAAAAGTGCTTGTTGCACGCATGCACACTGACTTAACCAAGTGACGTCTATTTGATCTAGCTCGTTTGATACCTTCCAGGTGAAATTCATAATCATTCGGATGCAAGCAAATGTTCGGGCGAAGCAGGTTCGAAAGCGGTATGTCGCGCAGAAATATTTTATCCTCCGACTACAATCGCTTGCGCGTTGTTGGCTCTCCAAGCAGTCTCTGTACAGCTTGATGCGGACGAAAGGCTACTTTGCCGCCGATATGATCAATCACTGCGTAAGGCCTTTGGAAACTTCTTCCATTTTGTCCATTTAATATATATCATGAGTATCACCATGTAGATTGTGGTCGCCAGAAGAAGCAATGACTTGATCGAACATGTTCAGCATTTATAAATTGCGCATGTCATCCTAGCTTATGTTGATCTGTTCTGATTAGCAATGATAGAGCTCCAGACTTCTGGTGTAAACCTCACCACACACTATTCACCTTCGCTATTTACGACAGACATTAATTTCCTGCCTTTCCATTTAATAATCAAATATTTTTAAAGAGTTTTTTTCCGGACAATGCGGATAAATTTCATTACCGATTTTGATTTATACTCATTTAGCGTCAAAACAGGGTGCACTATCAAGCATTATTTGGTTTGAATCGAATCACTCATGCATTGCACTTCAACAAGTTCCCTTTTCCTTCGTTTGTTATTAATAAATCAAACCTTTCTGTCTCCTGTTCCTACTGCTTGAGAAACCAAAAATCAACGAAATATATCGCATGTGTGAGTTAATGGATACTCATTAGAAGTAAGACGGTAGTCATTGTAAAGTCGAACCTTTGTAACCCAAAAGGATTTATGAATACTTCCTTAAAGTCCCCATTCGGGATTATATTTTGCATGGCGCAGGCTCAGTTATAAATCCGAAGGCTGGTCTATGAGAAAATATTGCACAACGATAACCTTATTATGCCCTCTATTGTGTAAAGTTTCGATTGTGCCTGAAATTCTACGTTTTTAAAGCATCGTATAGTAAGACCCCTTCATCTGGCTTTAGGACGAACATACGAAAGTGTATACCTGCGAGACTGACTTAATCGAGGACGTCCTCCTGCGAAATCCTATGTACGCTACTTGGAGCTGCGCCCCGCTCCCAGAAAACACCGCCCACATGACCGGTTTGGCCACCAACGTACCGGAGAAATGCGAGATCCGACAGTTTTCGGTGTCACTGGAAAGCAAAATACTGAGTCCCACGAAAGTGGCCCATTCACAGGCCTTTTCGGACCTTGATAGCCTGGTACATTCCTTCAAGCGCTGAGTTTGCAGTTTAATCATTTGTTAAGTGTTTGTATGCAAATAAAATTACGATTTCTAACCAGTGCATATCCTCTTCAGGCTCTAAATAACCTAACTAGACCATAAACAAGAAACGGATCTTTACTGTACTGTTTTATTTCAGTGAAATGGATGAACAATACTGTGTACCTGCAATTTTTAGTAGCATCAAATGACACTGCTTTGTTGTTGGTTGGCCTCGAAGCAGCCTAACTTCATTAACCGTAAAAGTGTCTATTACAAGTTGCACAGATAGCCTCTTTTCTTAAACTTCCAGCTATTTATTTTTTTAAACCCCAATCAGTGAGGTTTTACGTCTTTCCACTCAGGTTGACGCCATTTTCGATGGAGTTTTTGACTCGGTGAATCCAGCAAAGCGAGGACAATCAGATAAGAATACAACAGCCGGTGGCAGTATCCAAATTAAAGAGGATCGTTGTCTGAATCCCACCGATTCAGTAGCTGTAAACGAGTCCCTCGATGAGGCGATGACTGGGGAGCTTTCCGCTGTGCCTGGCACCGGAGTGGGTGTAGGCAGTAAACGGTTTAAAGCGCGGTGCCCTGTTCTACTTTCCCCACCTCATTCCAACGACGGTGTGGAGTTGACCCATGCATCCGCAGGCCAACATACCCTCTGTGCACCTGGGTCTACCACTGGCTTCTCAGAGGCCGGCTCCGAGTATGAACAAAGCATGGGCGCATCAACTGCTCTCGAAGACCACTCAACACAGAGTGAATGCAGCTTCTTCAAATTTGCTGCAGCCTACTTCCAGACGGGTTCCTCGGCGACCTACACTTCTTCTCGGCTGAACAGACCTTTGTTTAAACACCGAAATCAACATGACCAGTCGGTAGGGCAGCGTTTGGACACATCATTACACACCCTAATTTCTTCGTTATTTTTACATCACAGGATATAATTTGAAACATATTAGGCACGTTTAATCTAATCTCTTGAAAAAAGTAACGCAGCAGTCGCAATATGCACGTCACCAATCCCCAGGCTGAAACTAGGCCCTTTTGCTGGTACGAACGTTTCATTGCTTTGTGAGAAGCTAATGTGAACGGGTTAAAATTTTGTGCCGCAAACCTCAACACAATTACATTGTATAAAAATTTCCGTTAATTGGTTTCATTAGAACCCTATGTTATACGGCGAATAGAAATGCGTTTATTCTTTGTTCATAAGTTTTCCACACTACAGTTCCTTTTTATACGGGGGTCTTTTAATTAACTGTAGGTAACCACGCCCACTGACTAACCACCTGATTTTGAATGAGCACCTATCCTTAGTTGTGTTGTGGGCCCCAGCACGTGGTCTTGAACCACATCGGGCCACTGAATTAACCCTGGCCCGATTACGCTTCCCTGATACCCGCGATGAAGAACAAGACCGGAGAGGCCGTGGACACAACCGTTTACTTCAGAGCTCAACCACGCTGGTGTCGTCGTGTCGTGTATGGAGTTTTCACGTGTATTTATACCTCAGACGCGTGAATCATAGATGCACTGACATCGCGGACCTAGGTGTGAGGATAATCCAAAATACATGTTCGTGCAAATGAGTGGAGAGTTGAGGATCCGCGCGGTTGGCGACATGCTGTGAAAGAGACCCTGTGTCGGAGGATGGAGTGATCGGATTAAGGAGTGTGTATAAACACCATTCACAACAGTTCTCCCCCTTAGCGAGAGGATTTGGCGAACCTTTTCGTCCACAAGGGTTTTTGAAAGGTTGACCGTAGGTTTCGTGTGATTGTAATGTGGCTGTCGATGTGGGTCGGACTGAGAATTCTTTCTCTCTTAACAAAATAATTCTGCCTTTTTTTCAATGCGGATTCTGAACGGTAGACCGCAGGTTTCTGTGATCGAAATGTGGCCCATGTGAATGTAGAAATGGGGCGGATTGTCGTACCCTGAAGGTAGCGGAACACTTGGCGTCGTTGTTCGTTTCCGGAAGTCGTTCGAGATGTATCGTTGTTGCCGACACAACCTTTTCTACCACTTGGATATCTGAAAGGTTGATCGTTGGAGAAGCAGCTCATGATGCCGAATCGTAAGATCGTTGACATCTTTCGATCTGGTTGACAGTCGAGAATCAGGGGACAGAATTGGTAGAAGATATCTGCTGGATGAGCATCAGAAGTCGAGGCCAATGGAAATCGAGAGATGGGGCCATGTTGATTAAAAGAGAGACTCGATGGATGAGGCCAGGTTGCAACAAGGAGAGATTTGTGCAAATAAAAGTGGAAGGATTGTCGCAGAATGATAGGTAGCCGCCGCAAGGTGATGAGAGTCGAAGTGCATCGTCCAGAGTTTAGCAGCATCAGGAAATTTGGCGTCGTCCGGAAATGATCGTGGCTGGAAGTAAATCCTCGCTAAACGAAGAGACTTAATCATACTACTAGGTCGCCAAACGTCAGTAAAACGAAGGTCGACATTCGTCCAACGTTACCAATTGTTATAGGATTTTAAATAACCTTTCATCACGTCGTTGTCACCAATTGTTGTGGGCCGCAGCATGTGGCCTTGAACCACTCCGGGGCCACTGAGTGTGTGGTGTGTATATACACGAATCACAACAAGTGCATCAGCCATCACTATGCCACACGTATGACGTTCAGTGTACAGGGAAAATAGAAGATTGTGACTTCTAAAATTTTGTGAACTTGAACTGGGCCGCAATTTCTGAAACAGAAATGCTAAGATCCGAATTTGTTGAAGAACCATTGTTCTCACTTCACAGTTTGACAAAATCCACAAAATGGTAGCATGTTTGTTTTCAAGTCCCGAGTACAATGGTCTACTGCATTTAAGACTAACAAGACTGGACTGAAAAAAAACGCCTCTGGAATAAGTTAACAAAAATGCACCCCTGAAACACAAAAACTACTTGGCAGCATTCATCCAATTTCGATAGTTCGTGGTTGTTTAATTACGTGCACACAAAACCCGTATTTAATATGCATCCGTCTTCAATTTTTCCTTTGTGCTAATTTTTGTTAGGTTTCAACAAGTCTGTACCTTGCGTTTTCATGATTGTAAAACAATCATATTCACAACAAATAATTTGTCGAAACTTGGTAAGGAAATTTTCTATGCTATGCTGGTAAAGTACCTTTTTTGTCCGACTTAACTAAAGGCTGGTAGAATGATATATCGTTATACTCAAAACTGAACAGCCGTAGTCTTTTGCTGGATTTCAAACTCAGTGTATTTAGCGAATTATATCTCTTTTCAAATATTCCGTGGACATTTCAAACAAATTTTTGATCTTTTAGCTGGCATTGGACATATTTAGCAAAATTATGTCATTTATGAAGCCGAAGAATGCGGCGGATGAGGGCAAATTGGAATCCACAACAACGGTATGCACAGCTTTTTTTAATCCTTGCTTTTTGGACTCTACATTCAACTTGGTTCATTTGCATTGACCGATGTGGCAGATGATGAATGAAGGGCGGTCTGGTGCCACTGACGTGTCAGGCACGAGCACGTGGGCTCCACACTCGAGCTCCAAGCGTCCACGGGTGGTACTCTCTTCAACCAACGGCAGCACCCACGATATCCCACTCACTGATGATTCCGACAGTGTCGTTGGGAATGGTCAGTCGACCTATACCACCACCGTGAAGATTCGCCGTGATTCTCAAGCTGTCCTGCTCTCGGAGTTGTGCAAGGTGCGATTCATTGTTGGAGCGGGTATAGATCATCCGCAAATGCGCGACGAGATTTACTGCCAAATTCTCAAACAGATTACCAAAAACCCCTGCGTTTACAGCAGGACCAGAGGTAGGTTCCTCTATTAACAGTCAAGCCGTCTCACTTACCCCCATTCCTTACCTTCCCGTATAAGACTAAAAACATGCCCATTAAAACAAAGGAGGTTTGGACCAATAGTAATTTACACAAATGCTACCGAATTTGTAGCCATATGTGATCACTTATCATAACAAAGAAACATTCTATTGTTACTAAACACTAGGCCCTTCTGGAAAAATTTCTTACATATTTAATAATCTGGTAAGAGAGAGTCTTCCTTTAAACTGGAATATTTTATCATTCGGAAGCGGTGTACATTTCAATTTATTATCATTCTCGACCAAATGCATACGTACTATGTTATGACTGCAGTTTCTAGCTTGAAAGCCATCGTGCAGAAAGGTCTCACTGTGACAGTCAAGAGCTCAGTTGTACGTCCACATGCGCCGACTTGTGTTTGCCCATTGTGACCTTGACCTTGGATAAACCTTAGTTGGGCTGTCATTGGTGAGGGTGTCGTAGACGGTACGACCAGATGAATTGACTCAATTAGGGGCTCAATGTTAAGAGTTATACAATTTTAATTATACTAAGAACAGTCCTGGGGAATGTATTTCCTTTAAGTACAGCGGTTATATTTGAAATTTTCTGAATGTTAATTTGACAAAGTTGTAGAATGAGCAAGAAATGGGGCCAAAATTGTGTATTTATTTATATCTTTTACAATTTTTTGAGGTATTTATTACTAGTTAACTGAGACGAGTTCAGAGAATTAATCTGCATTTCCCTGTACAGATGTAGACAACCTTCTGGACCGGTCATTGCCTTCATTCATAAAAAGTGTGGCTTATTAAAAAACGGGATGGTCTCTCATCATCATGTCTGACCTTCGCTGTCCAGAATCAGTCTACTGAATTAACCAAGTTATTGGCGAAATCCACTTGATATGTTTTCCTTTCAGGTTGGATTCTGCTAATACTATGCGCGAGCTGTTTCCCCCCAATACACTTTGATAGCGCGCTCAAGTCGTACTTGAAGTCGAACCCTTCTACCTACTCGAAGACCTGTCTAAAACGCCTCAGCCGTATCTACCAGACTGGAGTGCGATCGAAGCCACCAAGCTATATGGAATTGAAAGCTGCAGAGGAGAGAAAAAGCCTCATCGTCAACATCCTCTGTGCTGATAACGGCCGAATAAAGGTCAAGGTTGACCCAACCGTCACTGTACAAGAACTTAGCAGTATGGCGTTCAGTGCGGCGTCGATTAAGGACACATTTGGATTCGAGATATTCATCAACATATTTGATAAGGTACCCAAAAGGTCTAGGGGTTGCGTCGCCATGGGAATCTCATTCTAATCAGGACTTTGCCAATTCCTTTTTCAGTCCTACGCTTTGGCAATGGGGCCGAACCACCTATTTGACACCATATCCTTCTGTGAGGAACACGCGAAGAAAAACGGCGTGAGGGAGTCTGACCTTCCGTGGTCGTTTATCATACGCAAGACCATCTTCGCACCATGGCACGATGTCACTTTTGATCCTGTGGCGACTTCTCTCATTTGCTATCAGGTCACCCAACAATGCTTTACTGAAGCCCACGAAACCCTGGAGGTGAGAAGTGCTTTATTGCAAACCCTGCAAAATTAACCCTGATTAGCTTAAATTAAAGTTATCTGATCTATGTGCATAAATTAAAGATTTATCGAATATCTCTGGTGGGACTCTTAAAATTATTTAAACAGTAATCAATGCTCGTAATAATAAATTTACTCTATGTGGTCAAAGACCTAAATAAACCAGAAATAAACTGCTTTCCTTTTAAATAGTTTACTGCTTCATCGCAAATTCAAACCTCGTGCGTCGTTAGAAGAGAGAGTGGTGTTTTACTGCCACAGGTCCTTTTTCCGGCAAAGAATGTCTCCTTTTTCCGCAAGACATCTAAATTCCGTTTTAATCAAAATGGTGTCCGTATCGTTAAATAGCCTGTTAACGCAATCAAGTGCATTGGATTAAAGAAATAGCTTAGTTCAGTAAAACCAATCTCGTGTCTAAAAATAAAATATGCGAATTTACGTAAATAGAAAATACAAACGCAACAGTTTCTAGGCAGTATCGAACACCAGATGATGCAAACTACCCCTAGCCGTCACCCCAAACATTTACAACCATGTAGTATGAACAACTCATTATCGATGCTTCATTTTGTTTTATTTCGTATCTAGGAGCACGAATTGGCCTACTTAATGGCCAATATATATCGACTCCTACATGCGGATATGCTTGAGGTAAAAAGCTCAAATCTTTCACCCGATTCGGGCCACCTGGATCTCCATTCCTGGCTCACTCAGATTCTGAGCCCTGGTTGCGATATCTCCTACTGGCAAAAAGTCATGAGTACAGTAAGTTGCTTTAGACGCACTTTACTTTTCCTGATTTCTAGTGCTCCTATTTCAAACGATTAACGTTGCCTGTGTAACAAGTTCTCCAGACGGCATTGAGAAATCATTGCTTGCGACGTCTAACCCATCGCAGATCACGTATATAGTGAGCTCTAGTTTTGTCCGAATTCACGTCATATCGTTGAATCAATTGTGTCTTTTGACTCAAGTGCAGATTTGTGATGCTTTTCACTCTCGGTAGTTGATTGGCCGCGCCTACCCAGCACATGTTACCAGTAGGGTTCGAGATGGTAAAAAGGACATAGTAGTCAAACACACTCAATGATTTGGGTCAGAATCTCCTCGTTGTGAGCGGGAACATCAAACTGACCCCTTCCTTGCAGAATGAACAGCCCAATCTGGAAAGTTATTTAGATCCATGATCTCACCTGCGTTGCCAATCGTTACGATCGAATTTAATAGTATTTGGGAATTATCTTCAGCATAACTTACGGAGGGGGTACTGATAGCCGCAAAGTCAAATCAATGTCACAGTATGGTAGATTTATACAAATACAACAATAATTCTCTTCACGGCATATGAATTGAAGTCAGAAAATTGAACGCCAGATATGTTCAGTTACGATCGAACCAATCTGATGGTATCTTATGTGAGTCCAGCCTTCTTGGGACTCGGGGTAATATTCACTAACCCTATGCAGTTTTCGTTGTGCCCCTATGTACCATGTCAATTCAAATTTTTCAAACCGGAATAATATGTAATTCAAACATAACCCCTACAACCCTTAGTAGAAGGTAATATTTATGTTTGACGTACATGTTATTTGTCTTTGGGCCATCAGACAACGAGCTTGCTGTCAAATGCACAATTTAGTATATCAAAGGTTTGGTTGGGGCCACATTGCTTAAAACATGTGTAAGTCCAGAACTGGGAGCATTCCAGGTTATGTGTTCTTGGCTTAGCTATTCGACAAAAACAACTTTGTCCTCTGTGAATCGATACATGGTGCGCTGTGAATAAATAATTCAAAGGCTTTCAATTTTTCAGCGAAGGTACGTTTCGAATTTTTAGGCACTTCATGAACTCCACACTCGATCGCCGGATGCTACGATTGGCGCAACGTGTCAGAATATCGTAACATTTGCAAAACTCCAATGGCCAAGTATTTTTGCCCGGGAGTTCGAAACAATCTTCCTCCAAGGGAACTGTCGCGTACAGCAAGTCCTTCTCTGTGTCGACTGTTACGGAATCCAACTTTTGAGCGAAAAACGGGCTCTTCTCAATTCATTCCCCTTTGTGGAGATATACACGGTATCTGTCAGTTCGTAAGTTGTGTTCCAACATAAAAATACGTAGTTTCTTTAACACTTGGATTATCCATGAATTAATGGCTCACCAGCCTATTTTGTTGAGGAAGTTATCTCGAGTTTATAGCTTAAATATAGCTAAATTGTTTCTTAAAGCCAATCTAAAACGTTGTTCTGAGCCCATTTGTTCGGAAGAACAGACTTTGTTATCGTCAAAGCTGTTTGATAATCATGAAGATTTAATTTAGTTTAGCACAGAAACATTGAGTCAAATGCTCCAGTCTTGTCAACAAGAAATAGCCCTTTAGTTTTTAGCGAGGACCGACTGAATTGGACTTAAGCCAAGGTCAGTACACTTGAGGGACCACAGGTTTTCAGTGGCGAGTGGTTAGACCTGCGAAATTGAAAGGCTGAATTGACTTTAGTGAAGAATACAAATAGCCATCGTTCTTTGCTGGGAGGATTTCTTACCAATTCCTATGCTAGCCGTCAATTTTTACAATACATGTCTTTTAACAGAGCTACCCAACAGCCGATGAAGGTCATCTCAGTTAAGACCATTTGGATGAAGGAATATCGCTTCCTATCCAGTCGTGCAGCTGAACTGATGGACCTTCTAACGTATATGCTCACTGGACTAAGACAGCGCTCTCGTTATGCTATTGCAATCAAAAATTCTCCTCAGGGTGAATGTGAGTTTACCCGATGATTTGGACAAATATGCAGTGTGTGTTGTGTTCTGAAGACCACTTAATGTACGTACTTTTAGGTCGTGGCAAATCCATGATTCGCGTTAACGCTGGTGACTACCTAATACTGCACCAGCTGGGCTGGGAGTTGGATCAGAAGACACCGTTAATCGGCTACCCGACACCGTGCAAGTCTGCGCACTTCATTCCCCAAAAAGATACCGACACCTCAATTAGTTGTTACGGTGAGAACCAGCGCACTTGGGAGACGGGTTACGTTCCCATGACTAGCATCTACATCCTCCCCAGTGTTAATCCTCCAAAGCCAGAATTTATTGACGCCTTATCCTATCAGATTATTTCGTCAGAGAATAAACATTGGCTCAACATGGTGGACGATATTAATTCCCAACGCTCGCGCCCACCTGCCACTTACTTTCAGAGAAGACCGGCCAGTCAGAACGACGCAGCCTTGAGTCACAATGGATTTTTCGCTGTTGACGACCTGACTGAAAATTGTTCGCATCGGCCAGTGTCACAGTTCTCGGATCTCGAAGCCTCTTCGAAGACTATGTATGTCAATACCCAGTTTCTCATGCCACTCTTGTCAATGCAGTATTTGCTTTGTATGATAGTTTACAAGCGCTGGATGACAGCATAGTTGAAGCTTTAGTCGACAAATTGAGTCATCGGCCTTCCCAGTAAAATACCCTGCTTTGTTATCATTCTCGACTTTGAGGGAAAGTGTTTGGTTCGTGACTCACACGAGGATTGAACCGCAGCTTCAGATGGAAATCTTATCGAGTATGCTTCTCCTCATTTTGACGAATAGGGGTTGTTGCTTACTATTGTTATCCATTCTTCTCGATTTGCAATGCTACTAGTTATAGTATAGTACAGTAGGGGATGCACATTTCTTAAAAACGTAGTTGTGTGGATTCACTTCGTCACCTGCTATCATTTGCCCCAAGTAAGCAATAAATGATTGTGAAATGTTGCTTACTTTAAAAAAACCTGATGAATACTCATTAACCAACGTAGCAAAAATCAATAGCTTTTATATCCGGCAATTTACTAGTCTGCCAGTTTTCTGAGACAGTAGACTGCAAATTAACCGGACCTATTGTTTGTTCTCTCAAGAGCTACCTATGGCGACTCGACAGCGACAGAAAAACAGATCTCACTTAAACACACCCGTCTTCCGCTTAAGAAGCCCTTTTTGCGTGAAGTCGCATCAGCCGACAGGAAAATCCTCGATGCTGCTCTTTTCTCTTTCTGCATCATTCAAACTTACATGGGAGACTGTGAAAAAATACCACCACAACTCAAAAATATGCCTCCAGTATTCCTGACGGACCTTCTTTTCGGATCAGCTCTGGATTGCCCTCTGCTCAGAGATGAGGTCTTTATTCAAATTATGAACCAGTTGACGGGTAATCCGAAAAGGTATGTTTGTGTTTTCCCAACGCCAAGACACCGAAAATCAGCCCACGCATTACTTAAACGACCTGGACCATCGGTAACGCGCATGTTTGAAATGCGTGTGCTAACATGTTTCGATAGAGTGAGGGCATCACTGTGAATAAATGCGCAGTTCATTTAATCTCTCTGACCTGGTCGAATGTAGCGACGCGGACGTTCCATTCTTCCAGATTTAAATCTTGCCTTCGTAATCCAGGACTGGTGTCTAGTATAGGCGAGTCCACAGTGCCGAAAGGCTGTCCAAACAAACTCGAATGATCTTTTAGATGTTTTGTAATTGACAAGAGCGTGTGGATGGTTTTCCATAGAATTGGGCAGGTAAACGCGTGCACTCATAGTCTGAAGGTTTTATTACCCTGTGAGGTCTCGGCCACCTTAAATATAACGTTAAGCTTTATTAGTCCTCTGTTACTTTGCAGGTACTACTTTTTTTATGAATTAAAGCGGGTTTTTACACACTATCGGTTTGTTTTGTTTGAATATTCTGCTTACAGAACAAGCGAAAGCAAGGGATTAGAGCTGCTTTGGCTGGCAACAGGTATAATGGTGCCTTCGGAGAAAATTATGAACAAGTTGGTCTCGTTCCTGCACCGTTCGCCCCACCTACTGGCGTCCCAGTGCTATGTTCGGCTTCATCACACCTTAAGGTTCAGTCTCGCTGTCTTGACTTTGAAGTCTAATCAGTAGATACTTTTAGTGGATTAAAAATAGACTTGTTCTCTCCTCTGTAGCCGTGGGATGCGAAAGAAGCCCCCGCACACCCTTGAGGTTGCTGCCATACGTGGAAAGAAACCCAAGATTTTGCAGAAAATTATACTCCCAAATGAAGTTTCCTTGGTGCGTTGATGTGCCCTGATAATTTGACGTTGCCCCTAAAGAAGTGGCATGATTATTTTAGAAATGCTGCAACATGAACTGTGAGATGAGCACATGGCTTGCATTTAAACTAAAACATTAACTTAAGGCGACTCCGATCACTACGATGACAAACTCTTCCTTTTCAGTTCTTCTTCATTTTAAGATAAACCTTTTTCAAGAGTAAACTGGCACTCTATTCAATTTTAAAAAAATTAATGTTATCTGTATCTTATAACAAGTAGTGCGATTATATTTTGAGTCATGGATTAAGGTATGCTTCCTTAAAGCGTCATCGTGCATGATGACATTTCCATTTTTTCTAGCGCATTCTTCCTACACATTCTTTTCTTTCCTAAAATTACCCATAAAGAGGTATTCGCCTCAAATAGGGGGCATTCGCTCTTGAAATTTAAAGACAAATGGAACGACGCTTAGCCGCATCCGCCAAGCACGCAGGCTTCGAACTAATGCAACTTCTCTTTATGCATCATGTACCTATAAAATGATTTGCGAATGAGATCCATAGTATCATTTGTCGCGGAATAACGCATAGTCGAGTTTAAAACATTGGCATTTTCAATGTTTCAAATGATATTTCCCTCGTCTACGAATAGTGAGACTTCACCATCCGCGCATCATATGCCTCTTAACACGTATTTTTAAATCCTGCACCCACAAGTCAGATGATTGATTTTTTGAAGCTGAGTCTAATGTTTTGTGTTCCGTGTGACAGGGTTTCAGCGATTGGAGTTTGTAGATTCCTTTGGGCTTTCTCTACCATTGAACACCCGAGTAGTGAAAACCGAGGAGATATAAACTTCCTACTCATCATTAGCTTGCTGACGATGACAATGAAACAAACAAAGGAAATTATGACAAATCTAGGGGCCTATGTCATTTTTTATATGTAATCTTTAGTCAGTAATATTCACAAGCCTGCACGATACATAAGCGATACACTATTTGATTATTCTTTGTACTTGGCGGAGCTCACTTTGTACTTTATACCTTACCTTATAGTAGTCTAGCAGAGAAGTGGGCAGCATTGTTATATTGTTGGGTGTTTCTGCGGTTCTTATTGACGTGGTCATATGAAGTACGATGTCGAAACCCCTAAGATGTCAACTCCCTTCCCCACCTTTTTCAGATGGCAACACTGGAGTCGACAACAAGGGCTGCGGACGTGGTACGAGACGTGGTTCGCAGGTTTTGTTTGGCCTCAGTGGAACACTTTGCCCTCTACATAGAGGTAGACGGCGAACTTCGTTGCATCAAACCCGAAGAATTTGTACTCGATGCTCTAAGGTTAACAATGCCTGAAATTCCACAGCAGATCTCTCTGAAACGCCACATGACCTGTAGGTCCCACCTTTTTTTTCAAGAAATCAACCTTCTTAATGCTTGTAGTCCTGAGGCTTCGTTTTACTGATTCACTTGGTGTTGCTTTACGTACTGTGATTTACCAAGTAGTATTAAAATTTTTTTCTTAGGATTGTTAAAGGTAGGTAGTGCTCAGTTACGATGTACACTAACTCGGAGTGTACGTACATCCATCGGAAGTTATGTATCTAGTTTACGCATGACACTGTGCAGTTAAACTTAACTCATTTGAATTTATAAAAATGGGCTGTCTTACTTGGCTTTTTGAAACGATCTTGTGCTTTCATAGGCTATCATTGTCATTAACGGTCGTTTTGTATTTATGTAGTTCCTCCACCAAGCTCTCTGTATTTCATGCGAAAGCTTTGGCTGAACTTTATTCCGGGCCAGGATCCTATTGAAGACAGACAAATCAACTTTCCGCAGGTAAGAGGCTTTTAGTTCAGGAGACCCCACCGTCCAACATTTCTTTGCTGGCCCCATTACTACGTTTCATTTTTTCCTCCAGGCAATGAAGAATTTCCTTAGTGGCTATTACCAATGCTCACCAGAACAGGCGCTTGAGCTAAGCACCCTCATATTTATTTGGCACAGCGAAGAATTCCCTAATTCCCAGTAAGTAGTGTTTCTCTCAAAATATGCTAAAGTAAGTACTTTGGAATGCAACGAACTGCTTAACTTTGTCAGTCATGGTGAAACATTATTTGTACCCCAAAGAAGACTGTTTTCGCTTTTACCATCACAAGGACAATAATAAAAATCAGGGATTAAATTTTGACTACTTCATACACATCTAACAGCCCTAAGCACGCCTGAGCAAATATCATAGAGAGGAATAATCAGCCCAATTTTCAAGTTTCCTAGGACAAGAAATTCCATAAATCATGGCTAAAAGATTATGGTTGAGTCCTATCTGGTACTTAAGTTTTGCACAAGAATATCCTCATCAGTAGGATGTTTTTTATTTTTTCAGAATTTCGCTCAATAAACTTCTTCCAAAGAACATGCTTTCGAATGTTACCGAGGCCCAGTGGATTTCGGTATGTCACTGAAAAGACCCATAAGTAGGCGCCACAGTCGCATATTAGCAAATACTTGCTCATTAGTGTGTGTGGTCACGTTCTGTGCTTAGATTTACCGTCAGTGCGGGTTTCCCAGCGCAATGTGGATTTCGAAACCACTATGCACTCCCTTGCTTCTCTCCTCTTAATTGTTTGAACCTGTTCATGATTGACCGGTTCTGTGAAACTTAAATAATACATTCGCTTTTGAAGGCACTTTGGTTTCGCATAACCACGCAAAGGTACCTCATCAGAGATACGGTTTAATTTATTGGACGTTTAGTTGCACCTTGTGCATGCTTCAGTGCTTGAACGCAAAAATGCTCTTTTCCGAGGATCAGACGGATTGCACTGTAAAAATCTATGCCATTCTTCATTGTTCATGTTTACTCGTGACCATTCTTATTCGTCAAACTCCCGTTTTCAGTGTAGTTTTTTTATGTACCAACAAAATATCGTCGCCTCAAACCATGGGTGGACAAATTCGAATATGCAGCGACCATAAACACTATTAACCCACTCGTACAAACAAGATGAGGAAACCAAAGATTCGTCGAGTTCATGCCATTCTTATTTAATGATGAGAACCGCCTGCCTGAGTGGAGTCTAAATGGTCAAACACATTCAATTGGTGTCTACTTAATGCAAGCGTTATCTAGGACAATGAAAGCAACTCGCTGCACCACTCCGACGACATGCCATTTTCGTTGAATGTTTCCCGTTTAAAGATAGTTCAGTTGCAGCGCCGTTGGGCATTGTTTCCTACCTTTAGAAACTGACAGCGGTCGTCAACGCAAACCGCCGACTAAGCCGGAATGATATACCAGCCAACTTTTTGGCGTGTCTTTCCAAGGTGTCAACCTTCGGCTCCTCCTTCTTCCACGTTATGGTATGCACTTTAACGTAGAACATTTATGTATCACCATGGACTTTGAGTGCGCGGAAAGTCGGAGGCCTTTTTGTGCCTATAGTGCAGCGAATGTAACATTAGATATCAGATTAAATCGGAGGGATTTCAGTGAATTTGCCTGGTAACTATTTAAATTAGCATCGTCGTATTTATGTTTCACACTAGCTGTTACAAAACTCACCCTTACAATAATCTGCACCAAATAATCATAATATATCCTGTAATGTCGTCCACTTCGGTGGTAGTTAATCACCTTGGCACTCGGAAACCATGCAAGTGGAATCGCAGAATCATATCCAGCAGTCGATCGTCGGTCCTAACTGCTATGGATTGTGAAATCAAGGCATAATTGTGACTTGTCCATGAGATTCTGTCTTTTCTATGCATGAACCTGTATCGATGCTTTCGCATAGACTGAGATTTGCTTGAGCAATGTTGGCCACGCGATGCTACTCCCTCTTTATCAAATCAAAATGAGTCAAAATCCTAAGCCGGTGCAGTGGTCACAGCTAGTGTCAGGGCTCAATATTCTATCTGCCTAAAATAGTTTGCCTTGTCGACATTTACAATTGCCTGTCCGTCAAAATCACTTTTTGCGACTGTCATTAGAGTTGTAAAGATGTGTTACTTGGCATCATGATTTGTTCATTGTGATCCCACTGTTAACAGCATCCCTATGTTAGTTATTTGTTAAGATATAAAAGGCCCTGTTATAAAAGACAAGGTTTTGTTGATGTGACTACAAAATAACACAAATATTGGCCCGATTACCCTTGGCAAAGTAAACGTACCCTCTAATGACCACCGCATGAATCAGAATGTGGGCCATTAATGGACAGTAGAAAAACACGTATAGCAATATTACTTTCGTTTAGCCTAATTCATCCACCGACACTTGTCTCATGATTGTGAACAGTTCTAGTGTATCCCTCGTCGATGACAAGAAAGGGGTAAGTATTGTTACGTTGCTCTCCATGCCAGTTACATAGACAACTTTAACCACATTCGCCTATTCTGTTACTTGATACAGTTATGGGTGTTTCATCCATTCAAGTAGTAGGTTATCAAAAGTGTGATAAAGCAGCAATCCAGGCTATGTCGTGCAGTACAGTAACCACACTCAGTCTGCATTAGAAATAGAGTTCACGCTCTAGCTGCGTAGCAGGACTTCTTAATAACGCTGATGAAGGACACTGTGTTGTGCACTTATTACCTCAAAGAATAGATGGAAAATACTAGATTTAAATGTAGTAAGCATCGGTGTTTGCTGAAGCTAATTTCGGGCTCCCACAAGCCTCCGTTTTGGCGCATGGGTTTTACTATTGAAAATACGGGTTAACGAGTTGTAAGAAATAGATTGGTAATATGGTGAAAACGAAAGCTTTATCTGGAATTCTGTCTAAACTTTTAAGTCCTTTGACCCGTGAGGCATTGGCTCCAATTAAGTATGTATGATACAATATAGGATTAAACCCGCTGTTTCATATGCTGTTATTGGAGTCGTGTGACCTCGTGGTACTTGGGAACGTCTTCGACGTATAAATTCTACAAGTTACTTGCAGAGCTGTATCCACGTCAAACTACGTCGTACAGCGTAAACCCGTTCGCTCCGATCAAACCAATCATTAGAATCAAAACGCAACTTAGAGTATTACGGTCTTCAAATTTTACCGAATAGTTTGTATAATCTGTGGCTCTTTTCATTCTTATACCCTACATGTTTTATTTTGGTCTAACCCTGTTAATATTTCCGCAGATTTACGAGGGCGAGAGATGCCGCTACAGTGTCAAAGACATAGCTGAGTGCTGGCAAGATAACCAGATCATCAACTTCCAGCTCCGCAAAACCAGCTCTGTGAATAAGTGGGTCAGTTCTGTGACAACCGCCCACAATGCATGCGATCTCATCAATTGCTACCTCCGTTGTGAGAAGCCCAATTCTTTAAAGCCGTGAAGCTGAAGAACGTGCTTTTTTACCTCTCTAGGTGATATAACTCCTCTAACCTTCCCCCAGCTTTTGTGTATTAATTTGGCCTGCATTGAGTATCTCATTGGGCCCAGGGTATTTCGCATTTAATTAAACTTCTTTAACTTCTTTATATCACTGTATGTGTGTATGCCTTCGTGAAGACCATATCCTTTCCAAAAATAGCTTTTTTCGTAGTTCACACAAGGTAAATATTCTGTTATTCATTGATGACTTGGCTGTTAAGAAATTGAGACTTTCGTTTCGCCTTTGTGTTTTGCACTTAGTCTAGTATGCTTCATGGGAACTCGAAATTCGCAGAGCTAATAAACGCGCATGTGCTCGACGAGTTACCTTGCAGAGATTTTGACGTTGAAAACCACATCTTTCCTAGATATTTGGGATCCTAATCTCCGCTTAATAGAACTATTCTTGACTCCTTAAGTGGGACGTTATTCGTCGAAAAAATTTACTCTTGCTTTAGTTAAATTTTTTGTAACTTTGCTCACTGAATATCCTTGGAGTGCTGATGATGTGGCCAATTAGGGGGTCAGAACCACTGGCAAGCTCGTACAAATCTGTTTTCATCTGACACCGTCTGTAAAAAGCACTTTTGTTATTATAATGCTAAAAACAAAGGGGTCTAGAAGTTGTAGCTTTGCGAAGCTGAAAGTCGTGGAGGCAGCATTAAATACTTGCAACTATTTCCAAGCGCCCATTCAGGTACGAAAGCTCTGAGCCTTGAAAAAAGCCATGCAAGCATAATTATTTTGTCTAGTACTTGATAACTATCCTTTGCATTTGCTTATTATGAAACATTAGCTCTAATACCCTGTGGAAGGAAACGGGTCAAAGCGGATTCTGGAAACCATTGGTATCATGTGTGTGCGATCGTAGTTGTGGTGTTTTGAACTTTTTTCACTAACCTCTCGGAACGGCCCATGTTGTTTTGAGGTGTCATTTCAAAGGTGAGGCTGCCATCTTAGCTCAAACGACTTGAATCAAAAATACTACTGTACTTCATTTTTTGCTATATGTGTTTTCACTCAAATCGCTTCAGGGGAAATGCCCACAAGTTGTCCAAGCTTAAATCAAACACTTTTTGAATTTGACGGTCAGCAAGGAAGTTTAAATTCCTGGGTATCAGTTCTACAGTTCTGTTGGTCAACACGCATGCTTCAATGGTGGATTTGAATTTGAACGGGTGAGCTTTGTAGGGCTTACTTCAGATTATTTTAACGACCCTTCAACCTTGATGTCAGCATTTGACTTGAGACATACTGGCATTGCGCTCTATTGTGGGATGTCTCCAACGCAGCAGTGGCCTCTACTTCAGCGGATTTAATTGTTCACATTTACTGGCGTCACACAAACCGCATCTTTTTTTAGTTTTTGTTCACGTCGAAGGTTTTCTATGTTGGCGTGACCTGGATTAAAAATTTAACAGGTTATTAAAGTGTCGTAAGTCATGCGCGATTTAATACTTTTCTGTAAAGAATTAGTGTTAAGCACCCAACGATTAATTTATGCCCGGATTAACACATTTATGATACTCAATGCAACAGCTTCTCGTGTTGCTCGCTTTTCAATTGTTCACTGTTCTAGATCTTTCGTTAAGTTACTAATCTCACTCCACAAAGCGATTTCGCATCAATTTACGGTAGATTAGCGGGAAAAATAGCAAACTGGGTCCAAGTAATTAAAAGACGTCTGATTCAGATTCAATCTCCCTATACCCTTTTAAATGTGGGTGACAGATTGGCTCGACAACTCTTAGCTCTCAGAAAGTTCATCGAAGGTAGTCACGTGTAGGATGTTGTTGGCAGCCGCACACCCGTATTCAAGTCAACTATGAAGTCTAACTGATTTAAAAATAAATGAACCAGTTTTAACAGGGGACGATTCCTTAAATAAACACACTGGCCGGTTAACACTGACAGCGGCTCAGCGTGCTACTACCAGTCCTTTAAGTTCTCCCGGTACCCTAGACGCCAACATTTCGAAAGTAGGGCAAACGCACCGTATCTGCGTGCGAGGGTGTTCTGTCTCCAGCCCCCCCCCCCTCCTTCATTCTCCCCATCCCAATTAGTCTTAGCGACAACCGGCACGTGCTGGTGATGACACCCCCTTCGCATTCCTCTCCTCACCCACCCCTGCATGTGATTATCCCATGGGTTCAAATGAAGGTACTGAAAAGATCTAATTTTACTAACATCCAATAAACGCCCTAATAATAAAGTGGTTTCCAGTCAATACTTCGGCCCCTAATATAAGTACTTTTTCATCTGCACGTGCAGACCAAAGCATTGAATCTGTACAATGACAACCCACAAATTCGATTTTTCGCAGACTAACTCTTCTGGATTAATTTCATTGGAACGCGGGCACAATACTTTGAACTCAAAACCCGTATACTTGACGCCAGACCTCGAGCTGCTTGCCCCGACATCCTCGGCCATCATCTACAAGACACACTCCAACGTCCACCCTGTGACTCAGGACACATTTAAGCCAAAGACTAATACAAAACATCGCGTTAGTATAAGTTGAATTCGCTAAGGTGTTTATTTGTTTTACCTCCTTTAGGAGTAAACATATGTTGGTTTAATTTGAACGTAATTTGTTGTGTACTGTATCAGGACTGAAGCCTACCTCGTAAAAAAACGCTCAAGGTCGCGCAAAGTGCCCATCATGTTGAAGTTCAGGCGGCAAGGGGTGTCCGAGGGCTCGCCGGGCTATCAGTTTGGCTTCAGAAGGGGGTGGGGACGGGGTAGCTGTGTACCTCGGCGGCATTTGGCGACATGACGCGATCCGTCAACACGGTAACCTCTGCGGGACCCACTCGCGTTCTCAGCATCATTAACGCACTTTTTTTTTCAACCACGCCGCCCCAACTCCTCGGAACGTGATAACCTGACACAGAGGTGGAGGTGTGTTGTTTTCTCAGCATCACGAGCACCTACACACATCGTTCCAGCTTTGGGATAAGATGAGATAGTTACTTACGAATGCGAGGCAGAATCATGGCTCGTAGAAACTATTCTGAAGGCACCTAGAATAGTGGCTGTGAAGACCTGAAAGTAGAGGAGGACCAATGCAAAGCGATTGCACCAAAATCCTGAACAGAAAGATGCGAGCAAATGGGGTAGGAAGAAAAGTATGCTCATTATTATTCACTTCCTCGGAACTTGCTAGTTTATACAAAGATTTTGAATTTCGAAACAGTTCAAATCATCGGACCCTAGGCTAGTTTTGTGTTAGGATAATTCTACTCTAGACAGATCTACATAGAATACCACCGCGGTCAATTTACTCAGCGAAATAGGGCAACTAATTATCGTTTGGAGAGCCCGGACTGGCAGGCAATTACCACCCCCTATCGGCACACTCTGCTATTCGTACGCGGCAATTCCCCTATGTTCAGTCTGTTGTACTAATACCAAATCGTCACCAAGAAGCGGAAGTAGTATGCAGAATTGAAATTTGGAAAGTCGTCTTCCCATATGAATAGTGGTTCTTGGTAAATACGACCACTTATAGTACAATTTTCTGCTTGTAAAATGTCTTTCGATTTTCGATTATTGTGGCGGAGATATAAATTGTATTTTGACTGGATTCAATCGATCATGAAATGGTGGCATAAAATCCGTGACAAATATTACACTCGAAGTGTTCAATTGTGGGCCGGATAACGTAGCCCGAATCCACATACAAATGTGTAATGGGATACTAGCTACCCAATAAATTGAACCACAGAATAAATTTCCCTTATCATATTAGTCTTCATAAAAATTATCCTCCCTTCGTGATTTCTTTACAAAAGTTTTGTGTCCTAGTGTATTATTTATAGAAAATGGGGGACAACAGAAGGACTTCTTAAGAAACATGGACAGCTGGTTCGGCCGAGTTGTGGTCTCTTCAACACGCTTTAGCCAGTTCAATTCATTGAAAATCCTCACTCAACCATACGAAGTATCCTCACCATAACTCTCGTAAATGCGAGATGCACACAGGAAGAGCAAAAAACCGGATAAATTGATTTTTGTCCAAAAAAATGAAACGTCAACATTGACTGTCATCTTTGTCATTTCGTTTTTTTCGAGTTAACCTAAACGGCGGGTGAATCGGACCTGAGATTCGGAACTGCTGTTACACGGTGTTTAGCAGTCACTCGCATATCAGTAAATAGAGTTTCTTTTGGAAAGTTTACACCAAGAGGGGTAAATATGACAATTTCGAGCAGGGTTCCACAGGTGGCCGCATTGTTATGTGTTCCCATGTCCCAGATTTGCAGCAACGATTTGAATCCCTCTCACAACTCGAGTGCTCAAGGTGTCCTAGCAACCGGGTCTGTTCGTGATGAAGTTGGGCTTACAATCCTCCCTATGTGCACAAGGTAGTGAAAATGGCCGCTGACACTCGTGACGAAAAGTTACACATACTGGGGGCCTGGTAAGATGGTTTTTAAATTTAGGCGCCTGAAGTCTTCGAATAATCCACGAAATCCTAGAAAGTGCATTTTCTCAAAGCTATTCTTACTAACACTGTTGATGAAAACCAGAAACTTTTTCCTAGTCTTATATATTTTCAATTTTTGGGGGATTTTGGAGAGGGGTGACCAATTAATATTTGAGCTTTTAGATCTCTTTGGTTAGGCTAACATGACTTCGACAATGTGGCGTAGAGTCGTAGGGTAACATACTATTCGACTTTGCAACATTGAGAAAGATGACCGAAAACGCTAACTTGACAACGAAATTGGATGGTCGAAAATTGACTTGTTTAATCAAAAATCTTCTTCCTTTTCGAAGCCCAATTATCTGACGAAAAATTTGTCCGAAAGCCAAATTCTACCATCCAATATACATAATTAACTAATTTTTAAAGTCATCCAAAGGATCGTTATGGTTTGATCGACTGCAAAGCTTTTGGATGAACAAATTCTATAAACCCGGAGCGTTTGGTTTAAACACCGATGCTATTATATGCTATTAAACCAATTAGAGTAAAATTGGGCAGTTAGAAATGCATTCTATCCAACCCCTGTCAATCATTTCAACCGTGGATGCTAGCAAAAGTGAGCTAGGGTCATCCATCGCTTTAGCTTATTTGTTTTCACAGTAGGCCGTTGGCCCAACGATATGATAGGATGTCATGTTTTTCAACGTTTTCGGGCGCTGGTGTGTATGTATACAAAAGAATAACAAACAAATAAATTTTGCTTCATTAAATCACAGTTCACATTTCACATATACAAATGTTTACCAATTGAAAATTGGGTTTGCGGATTAAGCAAGGTATTGAACGAGCTGCTGAATCAGTTTCTAACTGCCCAATGTAACGCCTCACCTTGCTGATCTCAAGTGACTTCCGAACTAGGTGTTTTAAATTGGAGTAGTACGGTATGGGCCAGTTCAAAGTCGAGAAGTAATTCCCATTTAATTAGTAAAAGGTATGGTGAAACTCTGAAAAAACGTTAATTTTTTTTATTCTTTCGGGTAGGAACATTTGCGAGGAAATATTAGAAAAATAAATATATGTACAATACCCATTTTCGAGAATTTGACCCAATAACAATGTTTCACTAACACCACCTTCAAAGGTAGAACACATGCTGACGTTATTTATTATTCAACGAAAACCGTGTGGATTGTTTTAAAATGGACATTTTTATTGGTTATCTTAAAGGCAAATTTGTGGTTTTCCCAATTAAGGCGGCATCTGCCGTGGAATTCAGATTTGGACACTGCTTAATTCAGTAACTCCTCTAATCGACATGTCACTTCGATCTACAAAATTAAATCCAGTGACAATTTTTAAGAACTCTGCAAGTCAGCTTCTTCCTCAATACATTCATTTCATTTTAGCTATTAGCTTAAAGTTGTGCGTTAAAATGCTTTTCATATGCAATTATTTTGCACTAATTATCGTAAGTTGCAATGTTTTTAAGGAGGTCAGAACTTTATGGTGGAATCTGGAGAGACGTCATTCTCGACAAATGCCTCTACTGCTCGCCATTTCGACCAACGATGTGGAACGTTGTTCTGAAGCACACACTCCTCCAAATGTACACTACAATCAACAGTCTAATGCACCACGTCGGCTTTTAACCCAGTTTCTTCAAGCCTCTTCCACCTGGTACCCTTGTAAATTGAGGTAACGCATCCTCCTCCTCTTTCTGGATTGAGCGAATAGGGTCCTGGAGAGAATCGGGTAAGCTGAACGAAATCCATGACCTCCTTCATCCTGCATTATGCACTTCAGACCCGATTGGTCGCTTCGGCTAAGTAGGAGATAGACAATGGCAGGTAAGGAATTTAGGCAGGTCCGCAGAATCAACCGAAGAAATTTTTTAGACGACTGACCATTTTACGGTTACTTTACTTATTTTCTTCATGACAACAGATGAATTAATGACACCCACAGCCTTGATTTTCTGCCAATTTTGTCCTTAATATTAAAATCTCCTAACTTTCCTGTGAAAATTTTCGTGATGAGAAGTTGGGCTCAAATCTACTTTATCCACATCTCTGTTAATTTATAGTTTGCACTAATTCACTTCAATGTTCCGCATTCTTCGTCCTTTTTACCTCTGTGGTGGTTGGTTATTTCACAGGTCTGTTGAAGCACTTGTGTGGTGTTTCCCCCAAAGTTAAAGACCTTCTTGAATTCTGGATTTTGATACTCTTAATCAGATCTTGTTTTTAGCTATACTGGCAATAAAACAATACTTTTTGCAATTATTATGATAGAGATGCAAAGTTGTAATTGAGGTCGTTCACAATATTAGTTAATTCTATTTGAAAACTTCCTGTTATATTAGTTCCATTGGATTATTTTTAGCGGCAGCAAGACCCATCTCCTTGAGAGCCGTGTATCAAAATGAGAAACCCCTAACTTTTATTTGTTAAGGCAGAGAAGGCGCTTCGCACGAAAAACTCACGACCCACGTCCAATAAGTACACGTGTTTATTTATTATGGGTGCGTGGATGGTTTTAGGACATGACAGAAGTCAGAGTGTTCAAGTGTTAAGCGGTGGTTTGAAGCATGTCAACGGGGCGTAATTTACATTTGCTTTACCAACAGAAAAAGCAGCAGACTCCGTCCAGCTTGAGTATAGGTGACGAGATAATCAAGACCAAAACCAATCTAGTCACCCCTCTTCCCACTATTTCATGTACTCCTGAGTAAACCCGTACATACAACCCGGGAAAAGGGGTTTATTAGGATGCGTTAAGTTTTTTTCGCTTGGTGTGAATGTGCATGTTCCCCGATATAATTTCCCATTGTTAGCTTAGCAACACCCATTCTCCCACCCCCAATCACCATTATTTTGTGAATCGCTTCAGTTAGCAAGACACGTGCCACCCTCCACTTCGCATGCGCACCGAATGAGCATGAGGGCAAAGTGGAAGGGAGGGCGGGCTGACTCCTCCCTCAGTTGGCTCAGAAGGTGGGATGACGGAGGGGGGAGGGGTCAGGGTAATTGAATGTGCACGTGGGCACGCACTAAGGCATTTAGTTTAAACCGAAATTTCCCTTTTGAAGGAGATCTAGTCGAATCCCCCGTTGGCGCGTGTGCACGCCTCCCCCCATCACTCAGCCGCGTTCGATGAGTTACCGAGTACGGAGACATGTCCGAAAGTTAAATACCAACATCTCCGTAGTGTTTTTTCATAAACGCATCTTATTACCATTCCCAATACCCTCTTGTTCATAAAAACTTTATGCGATCGCCAAGACTCATTGCGTATCTCTAAGACACTGGAATAAATGCCATGAAATTCGTATTATTCTTTATTCAACTCAAACTTGAACCTGCTGTCCTAAATCACGCTGCAAGATTAAGTGACAACCGGTAGTGAGGGCCCGTAGGACATTACTGAATGGTGATCAGCCTTGACAGGAGAGAAAGTGACTCGTAATTAGCGGCAGGACCCAGAAAAGTGAGTAATGGCTGTGTGAATATACTTTCTGCACTGATTACATTGGAAGCATGACTTCATTAGAAAACATCCAACTCGAAAATCACAACTGGAAATCAGCTGGATTTTTAAGCAGTTTTTTCTCACGTACTGTCCTCAGCAATTTTTTAAGGAAATTTTAATAACACAAAATCTTTCCCCGCACAAATGCATTGCTTACCCATTTCCCGTCTCTCATGAGTCTAGCTATTATGGTGAAACAAGGCACTCGGAAAATTAAGAACAAGTATCTCAGTTTCCTCACGGGAATACGGCGTTTTTTTGCCTTCCCCCGATTTCGTAGTTTCGCGGTTCAAGACAAGGAAAAAAGCCACTATGGCTTACACAAAAGGTTTTCGGTCTAGTCGATTAGCAAAAATTTCGCAGACCATCCTGTGTTACATTTTGACACACAGGTCACTGTAATGTTACTTGTAATTTCCTACCTACACTCTTGAAAGTGTCACGGCGGTTTATGAAAAAGTAACCCTTAAATTCAATTAAAAGCATAATCTCAGTTTGCGTTGCTTAAAACTGGATGTTTGTGGTCCCAATCAAACGCTAGCCTTGTTTTCTATAAAGAAAGGGAATTTAAAATAGTCCGATCATGGCTTTTCTAATTGGGTATTTGTGTCCACTTTGCTCCGCTGATCCAAAGTACTTAAAAGCCATCAGCTCTGAATCTCGAAAACTGAGCCTTCATGACTTAGTAGCTACAAATTCATTGGTCCTAGCAGGTAAAACTGTCTAACCGACAAGTGACTCAGTCGCAAGCCTCGGGCTTGCTCACATCGCACACGCTTTTAATTGGTTGAGGCAAGCCAATCAGATTTTGAGGACGCGTCTCTACCAGTTACCCGCATCCTTTAAAAGCCTAAGTTCACAAGCATGCGGGGTCCTCAATTAAGGCGGCGTAGCCTGTGTTTCTAGTCAAGGCATGGATCTTTACAGTAACCTCGTGGTACCACAACCACCAGTATTCTACGCCACATCTCGGGGAATGCCCTACGTCTACGGGGGCAGCTACCGCCATTATGGAGGCTCCGCCTATTGTTCGAACGCCTACCGACAACAGACCCCGATTTCAATGAACCCACTCCCTTTTCCACCAACTCATAACCTCCTTGATACCTACCCGGATAATCAACAGGCTACGGTCCACTGGCGTACACAAGACATTCCTCCTAGCTCAACATCGAAAGACCTCTGGGACATCAATGACAAGAGGCTCCCAAAGGTTACTTTCCCTACATTCTATGCCTATTTCTTACCCATCTGCAATGAATCAGGTGGTTTCTAAGCTATTTACCAAATTGGATGCTTCCTCTGGGGGATTTCCGAACTGAGGCTCCAACATTTACAAATTTCAGGCACCACGGATTGACCAGTTTAACCTCTGGCCACAGGGACATTGTCACCTCGTCTATAAGAAAATGAGCTGCGATTCAGTCAAGCGGCATGCGAGCGGTTGGGCGATGCGGAATACAAACAACCACAACAAACAGATACTGAAGAAAAGCTGTCTTGGTGTCCTGCTGTGTGATTCTCCCGGCTGCGACGTGGCACTACGACCGGCAATTTGTGACAAGGCACGAAAAAGCCAAGAAGGTAGGACATGATAAGTGATCGTTCAGGTTTACTGACAGAGTTTTACCTGCTCGCAAAACGCTTTTTGGAGCTAATGATTAACATTTGAACACAGCATCAGTGCGTTTGGGCACGACGCTAATTCATAAACGTTGTAGTCTACGCGCGTTTTAACTAAAGCCTATTTTTATTCTCTAATGATAGCCGAAAATCCATGCAATACTGAAGATGCCATTTGTCTCCCTAAATTATGATTTTGTTATTAATGAATGTCCTCTTCAGGCACTCCAGTTTTGGGTTAATTCCCGTGTTTATATATCTATGGGCTTCTCTGATATTGCAAAGTTTGGACCTCCAACTTTGGGCTGCTAATTCACCGGTTTGTACACTACTTTTGAGGTCTCTTCACCTCTGCGACACTACTTCTACTAAAAGAATATACCATTTGTTTCCATATTCACACGCGAACTTCTCTAATTTAATATCTACCTAAATGTTACATTCACACACTCTAATCTTTTCGAAACCTCTACCAATGAATTCGCATATTCTATAATGTCCGTTAAGTAGTGCGGTAGAGATAATCTTTTCTACATGAACTGATAACTTGAAATGCCAACTTTAAAGTTTGTTTTACGTCGGACCTGGGAAAATTTTGTGGCGGATGACACGAGACCAGGTAAAAGGCTTCTGACTGCCAATAATCCCCCGAGCCCTTTTCAATTAGATGTTCCTTTAGAACAAGTTAAAGTAGAATTGGAGTGCAGTACATCCGTATTTCTACCAAATTTGCGGATTCACGTGGAAGGGACCCTAGGTTGTCACAATTAATCGACAACTTCGCGAGTCAAACTCACCTGTGGTGTTAGCCGTGACACCCCCACCTGCGTGGAATGAACGTGCCGACAACGCGGTTTTGCGTGCTTCACCCCCCAGTCATTAGTGAATACGGGGATGAAACAACGATTATCTTGATGATCTGTCGTAAATGCTCTAACGTGATCATCGAGATAGGGGTAGGCGGGATAACGTTTTACTGTGGTGTCAAAATGTGCTAGCGACGCCAATAAAATTTAGTAAAGCGTAAATGGTTTTCGCTGTTTTAAACCTGTATTGTTTGGTCATTTTGGCGAGGTTAACATTTCAGGCTTATGGTAATGGAATTCGAAGTAAATATCGCTTCTAAGTTGACAGTGATATGTGTGGAGGGAACTTTGGTAGTTTGATTATGCCACTTGGCCATCGTAACAAATTTACACTTCCGATTTATGCACTACAAGTACAAGCAAGAATAAACCATTTCCCGCTCCGGATTGTTCTTCAACTGCGTAAATTCGATGACTTTGATTTCACAATATGTCTCCATTGACTTCGTAGACGTCCTACTTTTCCGACCGCTGGGTCCCAAACTTGGATGAAGTGTGAGATGATCCTGGCAAGGAACGACGGGACAATGACACGTATTCATGAATTTACCTTGTGTAGTGGTCAGCTGTTACCCCTAAAACACTAACTGCGTTAGTGCGATTTCAAATGTTTACATACTGTGACTTGTAAGGACTCCTAGCTACTGTGTGCGATGCTTTATTTGTGCCATACTAAAATTCGCATATTCTATTTCAGGCAAACAATGCACGCGAAAGGGGTGCCCAGGCCGGATCAGCCTTCGTCCATGTCACGGCCACGGTGGCTATCCTGTGACGCATTTTTGGCGTCACATCGGTGACCTTGTGTTCTTTCAGGCCAAAGGGACCCACGATCATGTACGTCCCGAACTCAAGGCCATTCGAAGTAAGCCCAACCGCTCTAAGCCCGCCAACTCTGCCTCTACCAACTATCCTGTCAAGCTTGAAGAAAATACTCCCAAATCTACTCCAGTGGCTTCGTCGTATTCCTCAATTTACCCTACTCATGCTAGTAAGTTGTTGTGAACTTTAACACTTTGTAACATAGATTGTTGACATTCAAATTAGTGCTGTTAAAGCTATGGCAGTGTTATGAGTTTCCAGACAAGGTTTTCCAGTCAACTAAGACTCGTTACTTTTCAAAACGGTATTTTGTCCAAAATCAGTAAAGGGATTACTGCATACACATCTTGCATTATAGGAGATGCCGTAGGATTTACAAACGGTTATCTCTTTTTAATGTATATCAAAGCGGTGGAGTAAGGCTATACAGTATCATTTCTACTTCGAATGACCAATCGAATGCCGGCCATTAACTGCTCCAAGTAAAGCAATCATGTAATGGCCAATCGAAATTCGGTCAATTATACGGTTGATGTTTCTTTTCTATACTATAAATTTAGCATTAAGTGGTGTACGTTTGTTTAGAGGCGAATTTCATGATCACTGGCTAAAACACCTGTCCTATAGTGCCCACTGATTGTAAATCACCCCATTTGAATTCGCATTTTACAGCTTTCATTGGGACCTATTTCTCAATTTGCCTAGCGAAGATGTCACTTCGGACCTTTTAGCAACTTGAACCTCCCGCGTTTGATTCAAATGTAAAAAATTGCCTCTTCTTACTCTAGATCAATTTCCGGGTGTGTGCGACCCCTCATACGGGATGGCAAAGGCAGTTGTCGCGGCCGCCGCAGCATCATATAACAACTTTCCAGGAGGTGGTGGTGTTGGCCTTTGTAGCCCTCCTCGCCCTCCACCATTTCATTCCGCACCCCCTCCCCTAAAACGTGAAGACCCCGCATTTAATGACAACGGCTTTCAATATCAGATCAGCTCAACCACCACAGCCTCAGGTGGATGTGGGCTGGAAAATGGCTCCTGGTCTAACAACCCCTCTCCGCCTCCAGTCAACGCACAGGGGGAGGGGGATTTTCCTCCATGGCCGCCTCAGACGTCTAGACCAACTTCAGAATACTATCCTAATCACCACCACCCCCTTCAGGCGTCGAGTACACCTATTCGGACTCACTTTCTTACCCAACCATCTAATGCCGCATTCCCCTACCTACCTTTTGACAGTTCCTCCCTCAGATCTTCGGGAACCGGCAGTAACAGCAACAGCAGCAATGACAGAAGGTTATCATGAAGCGACACACCTGCAAAGCTTACTGTACCATATATATTTTTATATTCCTCAAAGCAAGCATCTATTCCGTGTATGACTACCTGTCACTTATCTGTGAAGCAACTTAGATTCATTCTGGTGTTTTTATTTTGTGATTCTGTTGGTTCAGCGCTGAATGGATTTCGTCTCCGGTATGTTGTGGGCTCGTAAGGCCGCTCACTAAAGTAAATGGGTGTATTGCTGGTTGTCGCCCGCTGTGTGCTGTGAGTAGGCTAAGTACGAGGTGTTTGGTGAAAAATGGATAGCAGAATTTGGTTTGTGGCCTGTTTGGAAGAAAATGATACTGTAGTCACATTCAAAGTGGTTCCCGGAATATTAGATTGCAAAGTGTTATTTGCAAGCAGATAAGTTGGTTTAAAGGCGGACAGAATAGTGCAAAGAATAACTGTTTGGGAAGCACCAGTCCTTCTCGACTGTAAATAATTGAAAACGCCCTGCTGATGTCGCTATAACTGACTGACACGTGAGGCATTTCGGATTCGGGAAAAACTGCTGTATTTACAATTGGAAGGCTCCCTCAAAGAATGCCTTTTCCTTTTGACAAAAACATCGACAAATGAAGGTAATGTGTAACCAGATTTCACCTTAGTAGCCAGCTTAGGCTCAAAACAAGTTTTTTGCATCTTGAAACTGTCAATGGCTTGGGAAATACAAGTAGACAGCGCAAAAAGTTGCCATGATCGCCTTGTCAGTCTGTGCACACGTTCACAGGACATCAAAGGGTGACCGAACAGTATGAATCTCAAGTAAAAGGGGGCAAAGCAAGCCACATACCTGTGGAGTCACCGTGTCAGCATGGGCGGCTTTTGTAGGACGCAGCGCAATTATTAAGTGTTATTTGGCCGCAAACCCTTCCTTTTTACCTTGGTGGCCTCCCACGCTCACACCGAAAACATCAAAAAATCAGAGCTGAGCCTTGAGATTAACACAAAAGTATGCGCATAACTGCCGTGATTTGTTTGTACAAGTTGTATGTGGGAGGGAGGCTTGAGGCCCCTGCTTGGCTGCGCACAGGTGAGGCCTTAGGGGAGGCGAGTAAGGTGAGACACATTGTGTGAGCATTTTTTGACCATTAACAGCCCTGTCATTGTGCTGATGCTCTCCACCTGGAGAGGGGGAGGTGTCAACGCCACCACAGTCGATACCTATGGCCGTTTTTAGCTTCTAACGTTACCCCAATGGGGCGCTCTCGCATGCACGCCCTAAGTACTTTATAATACACTAGATTCACGGGAAATCTACCCGTGACGGCAAGCAGCCACATCATCGGCTTTTCGTCGGTTTGGTTTCGTCGTGTGAACCTCCATTTTTCACTTGAGTTTGCACACCGGATCACTCCTAGGGTGCATCAGTTTAATAGTTGCGTTTGAGGTTAGAAGGATGATTGACAAGCGTTTAACCAGGAGTCTCACAAATAACTGCAAGTTAAATTTTGACACTCAGGATTTGGGTTCAGAAGCTGACAGTTAATGTCTGTACAGGCTTGTGCATGTGAACATATGTGAACGTCAACGCTTAAAAAATAACATCTTCAAGCCATTCGCATTTCTCATATTCGTCGTTGAACAATAACAGGCGAATCCTACTGACTGCCGAATTTCTTGCAAGTCACAACTCAACCATTTAAATTCGGAGTACAATTTGTTTATAATTTGAACTTCGAATTCCATTTAAATTGGTTGTAGGTCCGGGGGTGTAGTGTCGAACTCCACACCGGGACTGCCGCATTGCATTGACCCGCTTACTCGACATGGATACCTGAGAAGACTGCGGAGACCGGAGATGGTGGAGACTCAACCGTTTACTGGGTGGTTCAACCTAGTTGTGTTTTGCGCTCTGTAAGTAAAGTGGTCACGTCTGAAAAATAGGGGCTGTTGATGAGTCCAGTCTGGGTGAACTCGTAAAAGTACAAATGGCCGAGTGGGTGGATGAGGGAAACGAGTAGAACAGGGGTGTGTGAACAGACGTTTCTGCACAATCGATAGGGCCGCCGAGAAAAGGGGAGGGTGGCGTATCTGAACGAGAGAAAATCGGATTTATGGACGTGAATCAACAAATTCAAGTGGTTGTCTGTGCCTTCTGGCCACTTCTTTTAGTTATGAAAAACTGGGATTCGTGCTGACTTCTTGTATGGTATCGTCGGCCGAGGTAGTAATGTTGATAGTTTGGTGCTTTCTTCCTGTATTCGGACCATTGTGATGCTGCTAATAGAAAAGCCAGTCAGGGGGTGTTTGCAAATGCATTATAGAGGATCATCCATTGCAAAACGGTCTGTTTCTCTTGATGACGATATCGGCATCGACATTTCACCATTCGCATAACTTACGGTACTCCATAAAACCGTCGGCAGCCTTCTCACACACATAGGGGAAAGTCAAAAGAACTTGACTGATTAGTTAGCCACAAACACGACTATCAGCCGAAGCAGTAAAGATCGGAGCTTCATATATCGTTCTTGAGACCTATAGAATACGTATTAAAACAATATTAGGAATTAAAAGTGAAAGATGATTCACCTTAAACAACAGAAAGTTGTAGGATATTGCGTTAAACTCAGTGAATGTCCAAGATACCAATTGAGCGAAAGACCACATGGCTAGAGCAAAACAGGGTGTCGTTTACTTCACATTCCTAAGTCCATGAAACGGTAAGCGATACGTCATATTACCGTGAAATGTAAGAAATACACCTACAATTACCAGTACAACAGTGAAAGACCTAAGGTAGTGCAGATATCTTAGTGGAATGGGAACTTTTTTGACTACGAGACCCAAATGCACATTTCATTGCTGTATAAATTTTCGGAAAAGAAACGTTCCTTACCAGGGCACCAAAAATATGGGCTTTAAAAAAGTACTTAAGCACTAATGGGACCGCGACGTATTTCAAAATACGAATTTAAAAAAAACGAACTGATAAAATGCATAACATGGATGTTTGCATTTCATAACTAACACTTATACTAAAACTACATAATATTGCATTTCATTTTTTTGTGACAAATCCGACATTTTTTCCCATTCCTGGATATTTTTCGAATACACTAAGCGTTTTACCACTTTATTGGAAAAACTCGAGCTATTGAAGTGTATATATTATGATAATATGATCTTGGTAATTACATAAGAATTTGACTGGGTTCGAGGATTCATCAATGGCTACATGGTCGTCCCCTGTAGTGTTTCACTCCTTCCCGTACTTAGACCCCAAACTTCTTATGCATTCTAAGTTACCTATCATCGAATTCGCAGTCAGTATGTCACGTACCATTTTGTAAATAAATTAATAATATTTGATTTTTTATTCTTGGTTGATATGTATGAACAATCAACCTGTTAGTACAAAGTAAAGTGTAATTTCTGCTAGCTATGCTAAAAAGGAATCTTGCAACCTAAAGTCTACAATAAGTTTTGACGGCTTCGTCCCAAAAAAAATATGGGAATATAAACATCTATTCCGGGACAAAAACAATATTACTTTACTCCATTGAAACATCGGATTTACTCGGTAAGTGAACTAAGTCTGTTCAGAGATAATCCATGAACTGTCAGTGACAGAAATTACTAGACAACCTGTCAAAGTTCATACGAGTTTTGATGCTACAAAATGGGAAATTTCTGTGAAATTCTCATTAGTTTAACTTACGCTTGGTTATCATGAGTGCGCCTGGTTTAGTTTAGTGACCCTGTTCTCAGATTAAATTGCAAAAGACTAAAAAAGCTGGGCGTTGTTCCTAGACATCCAAATCAGCTCAAGCGGCAGGGTTCTCGAACTCGAAGAGATTGTCAATTGTTTCCGGCCTGTTGATGATACGATAAGCTTTTTAAATATTATCTAGGCCTCAGCTTACACAGGCAAACCGTTTACAGTCTCTTGAAGCCAACATTCACGAGCTACATTACAGGGAAAAAAACCAATGTCCGAAAATCCTTGAGGTTTTATACCTGACGACATCTGACAGTGACTGTGGGAAATCGTTTACAAGTAATAGATACAATTATCGCTCGGAGTTTTACAGAACATCCAACGGGACTGAGTTCTCAGCACAAAACTTTAAATTTGATAATGTTAAATAAAGCAATTACTTGAATTTTAAGCTGATTATCCCGAATACCAATGGAGTAAATTGACGCAGCAACTGGAACAATAACTAATACGAAAATGCAGGGTTAATGATTAAAATGTTTTTTTTTAAAAGTTAAATGTCATGGAAGTGGGCTTCGTTTAACAGCCAGGCTTCAAGTGATTATTTCGTGGCAAGGTAGATAGCAACCGAAACGTTGCTCAACTTCTAGGCCTTTATATGAAAGCTTCCGTTTTGAGCCTTGCTGAAATCCGAGAAGGCTTCACTGGAAATCGGGAATCAAGGCTAAATATTAGCAGTAACGAAGGTCATTCACGATTTTACTCAAAAATAAACACCATGAAGTAAACCCTTTAGTGAATTAACCCGAAAGTCAAAGCGCGCTTTCCTTTATTCGCACGCATTTACTTAAGAGGAGCTACTAAGCGCATAAAAGCACCTAATAAAACGCGTGACTTGTGACGCTTACCTCTCTCCAATTGCCATTTATAATGTTCACTTGAGCGTTTTGTTAATGACTTCGCCAGTGAGCATGATTTAGGTAGGAGGTGAGCTTGAAGGGGCTGGTCACACTGGCTGAAGCCAGCCAGAATTCAAACCTACTGTACACTACTAGAAACAAGTCCATACTTCAGTGAACGCCAAATTGTTGATAGGTCAACTTCATAAATAAAAACCCATCAAAATTTTGACTATTTGGCGCAGCTGAAACTGCTATCACACCAACAGGATACTATGGCTGCAGATACTAAAAGCGGTTATTTCTCAAACACTTTTTTTCAAAGTGCTTCAAACTCTGAGTCGCAGTTTACAAATATTATACTTAACTAATCCAGCATCGAAATTCCTGGCAATTTCAAGTTTGATGTTGGCCAAA